AAAAAAAAAGAATAAAAAAAAAATGGAGAGGAAGAACGAGGAAGAGGGAGAGAGAGAGAGAACGGGGGTGTTGCTTTATTGCCCAGGCTAGAATGCAATCTAAAAATGGGTATACTCATAATTGTGCTTAATAATAGGGACATGAAAAAAAAAATGAGGAAAGAAAATAGCAGACAAGCAACCAACCAATATTTCATTTAAACCTGTAAATAGGTGTGATGTGGTACGGATAAGAGTGTATATTTTGTGTATTTAAAGTGGAGAGTTCTATAAATGTTAATTAAGTTTACTTGTTCCGGATCTGAGTTCAAATCCTGGATATCGTTGTTAATTTTCTGTCTCATTGATTGGTCTAATATTGATGTTGAAGTCTCCCACTATTATTGTGTGGGAGTCTAAGTCTATTTATAAGTCTTATATATCTGGGTATTCCTGTACTGGGTGCGTATATATTTAGGATCTTTAGCTCTTCTTGTTGCATTGATCCTTTTATCAGTATGTAGTATCCTTCTTTACTTCTTATGATCTTTGTTGCTTTGAAGTCTATTTTATCAGAGGCAAAAATTGCAACTCCTGCTTTTTATTTATTTATTTATTTATTTTTGCTCTCCATTTGGTTGGTAAATCTTTCTCCATCCCTTGCATGTGAGATGGGTCTGGATGCAGCATACCGATGGGTTTTGCCTTTTTTTTGCCTGTGTCTTTGGATTGGGGGATTTAGTCGATTTAAATTTAGAATTAATAATAATATATGTGAGTTTAATACTGCCATTTAATGTTAGCTGGCTGTTTTACTCATTAGTTTATGTAAATTCTTGATTATGTTGATGCTCTTTAGTTTTTGGTATTTTTTAGAAAGGCTGATACTGGTTGTTCCTTTTTATGTGTAGTGGTTCTTTCAGAAGCTCTTGTAAAGCAGGCCTGGTGGTGATAAAATCTCTTGAGTGCTTGCTTGTTCACAAAAGATTTTATTTTTCCTTCGCTTATGAAGCTGAGTTTGACTGGATGTAAATTCTGGGTTGAAAGTTCTTTTCTTTAAGGATGTTGAATATTGGCCCCCACTGTCTTCTAGCTTGTAGGGTTTCTGCTGAGAGATCTGCTGTGAGTCTGATGGGCTTCCCTTTATGGGTAACCTGGTCTTTCTCTCTGGCTGCCCTCAGTATTTTCTCCTTCATTTCAACCCTGGTGAATCTGGCGATTATGTGCCTTGAGGTTGGTCTTCTTGAGGAATATCTTTGTGGTGTTCTCTGTATTACCTGGAGTTGAATATTGTCCTGCCTTGCTAGGTTGGGAAAGTTTTCCTGAATAATACCCTGAAGCGTATTTTCCAGCTTGGATTGATTCTCTTTGTCACATTCAGGTACACCTATCAAGCGTAGTTAGGTCTTTTCACATAGTCCCATATTTCTTGGAGACTTTGCTCGTTCCTTTTTATCCTTTTTTCTCTAATCTTGTCTTCTCGTTTTATTTCATTAAGTTGGCCTTCGACCTCTGATATCTTTTCTTCTGCTTGATCAATTCAGCTGTTAAAACTTGTGCATACGTCGCGAAGTTCTCGTGTTTCTCAGCTCCATTAATTCACTTATATTCCTCTCTAAATTGTGTATTCTTGTTAACATTTTGTCAAACCTTTTTCAAAGTTCTTAGTTTCTTTGCTTTGGGTTAGAACAAGTTCTTTTAATTCACTGGTTTCTTATCATACACCTTTTGAAGCCTGCTTCTGTTAATGGAACACACCTGTTCTCCATCAGGCCTTATTCTGTTGCTGATGAGGAACTGTGATCCCCTGTAGAGGGAGAGGCATTCTGATTTTGGGTATTCTCACCCTTTTTAGGCTGTTTTCTTCCCTTCGTTATAGATTTATCCATCTGTGGTCTTTATAATTACTGTCTTTATAATTGGGTTTCTGAGTGAATGTCCAACTTGTTGATTCCCAGCGCTAAAATCTGAGCAACCTACTGTGCCGGCCAAAATAGCGGCGTTAAGATTGATGGTGCTTCTCTGACTCTGCACCAAGAACCGCTGCATCAAGGCAGCAGCAAAACCACCTTGCCGGCCACAAGAGTCGCGCAGGTGACCTGTGGGGCTCCTCCGCTGGGAATCTCCTGGTACGTGAGCAACAAAAATTCGTCTAAAAATGTGGCGTCCTCTCGTTGTCTGCGCTTTCACTGGGAGCTACAGTCCCGAGCTGCTAGTAATCAGCCATCTTGGATCTCTCAATCCCAGCAGGAAGGCTGAGGCGGGTGGATCACGAGTTCAGGAATTTCAGACCAGTATGTCCAACATAGTGAAACCCCGTCTTTACTAAGACTACAAAAAATTAGCCAGGCGTGGTGGCGTGTGCGTGCCTGTAATCCCAGCTCCTTGGGAGGCAGAGGCAGGAGAATCACTTGAACCTGGCAGGCAGAGGTTGCGGTGAGCTGAGACAGCGTTATTGCCGTCCAGCCTGGCGACAGTGCAAGACACCATCTCAAAAAATAGCAATTAATTTTAGAAGGCAAATAAATTAGAAAATGGTTGACTTTGCCCCTTCCACGTTGCCCACCATGTCTCACTTTATTGAGTGCAGACCAGACGCTAGTTGCTCAGAGAATTGTGGCTGCCTGTGGGCTGTGAATGAGATTCCACCTGGTGGCCCTGGGGACTGAACACACCGGTGACGACTGCTGCCTCCCAGGTGTCTGGCAGAGCATTGGGAAATCCCTGCCTCATTTTGACATGAAACAGCAATATGAGTCAAGGGGAATAGGCTTATCTCGAAGTAATGGGTAAAACAGTGTATTTGAAAGAGCCTGCTGGAGTTCTCCATTTGTTATGCTCCTTTGGAAAAAGATGATCAAGTTCTCGGTCAGAATAATATGTTTCTTTGTTTTGCTCATGTTGTGTCCTGGGAAACGTAACATATAGAATGCACAGCTCTGGGCTCAGGTGCTGCCACCAGTTGTACTGTGAGCTGCTTGGGTTGTCAGATTCTGATGTTTATCTCATGTTTTTCCCTTTGCATCTGTTCTGCCCCTTTGAAAGGCAGTTTTCTGTGCGTCATCTTAAAATAAGGCATTTTAAACTGTAAGTCTTTTGTTTTAGATTTTGTCTCATGTTTTAAGAGAAAGCTGTGGTTTTGTTTTGTCTTTAAGGCTCTGCCTTGCAGGATCAGGCCTCACGGCTGGGGGTTCCTGTGGGTATTCTGTCAGCCACGATGGTTGCCTCTGGTGTGGGACAGATCTGTGTGACTCCAGTGGATCCCAGCCACCCTGTACTGCTGACCGTGGAGCAGAGAGTAAGACCAGCAAACATGAGGAAACCTGCCCTTGTTGCTTTTAAGCTGGTTGGGAAAATAGGACATTTCTTTAATAGTGTTTCGGGTAAGGCCGGGTGTGGAGGCTTATGCCTGTAATCCCATCAATTTGGGAGGCTGAGGCGGGCAGATTGAGAGGTCAGGAGTTCCAAGTCCAGCGTGACCAATATGGTGAAACCCCGTCTCTACTAAAAATATAAAAGTTAGCTGGGCACGGTGGTGCATGCCTGTAATCTCAGCTACTTGGGAGGCTCAGGCAGGAGAATCTCTTGAAACTTGGAGGTGGGGGTTGCAGTGAGCTGAGGTCGTGCCGCTGAACTCCAGCTTGGGCGACAGTGAGACTCCATTTCAAAAAAATTTATATATTGTTTCAGGTAATTTGTCTCTGTTTTTAAAAACATTTAATCTCTCTTTTCAGAAGAAGCTGTCTTCCCTGTTAGAGGTGGCTCAGTATTTATTGGCACACAATATGTTCTCCCGTCTTTCCTTTTGTCAAGAATTGTGGAAAATACAGGTAAATTTGAGATTGCAAATGTGACTTTCCACTGTTTGAGGCAATGCTCTGTTGATCTGGATGGAAGCAACAGTCCCTAGGTTTTCTTGGAGATTCTACCAAGCTGCTGCTTAATTAACAGAGTGGATGAAAAAGGGTTTGGAAATCCTCTGTGGATTGGAAAGAGATACCTTCAGTTACCATTTTTGTCACTATTCACCTATCGTTGGTAATATTACTAGAATAGAGTATACCATAAAAACAGGATGTTCAGCCTTCTTGGGTATGTTATTATGAAGAATTTTCCAGGGCAGTAAACTATTAAAAATGTTTCTGTTTTGTTTTTGCCTTTTTTTTTTTTTTTTTTTTTTTTTTTTTTTTTTTTTTTTTTTTTTTTTTTTTTTTTTTTTTTTTTTTT